GAACTTTTCGACCGTATTTGTGGGCCTTGAGATGTGACTACGTTAGGCCAATTAGTGATGCGAGAGTCACCTCGCATCAGAAATTTAAATAATTATTCTTATTTGATACGTGTAAGTGTCACTGTCTATAATATATATTTGTGAGTTTCCTTTTTCAGTATCCAGGCTGGTTGGACATGTACACAAAGTAACAGTGACTTTTTATGGGCGCGTGGTCCTGACAGTATCTTAAAGTGACTTCTTAATTCTTATCAGGAATAAATGAATGGTTCAGCAATTTTTTTTTATTATCAACATATATTCGTCATACAATCTTTTTTTTTTTTAAATTTTGCCTCAGGAAGGAGAAAACATTTTCTATTTGGCGGTCGACGACATAGAGACAGATACGGAGCTGCTGATCGGCTGCCTGGACAGCGACATGGAGGCCGAGGAGGACGAGCAGCCAGCGACGACGGCGAAGGGAGAAGAGGAAGGTAAAGGTGCTCGAGGACCGTCCACACCTGGCAGTGCAGGTACTCCCTCCCGTCGGGGAGCTGAGGGCGTGGGAGCCGTAGGAGCGTGTCGTTTGAGCTGTAGTTGCGTTTAGGGCTTCTCCCAGAGCTGGCTTTGTCAGCACCGCTGTCAGAGGGGGTCCAGCGATGTGCCCACCTTTCTTCCAGCGGGATGAGCGTGCTGGGCATGGGCGGCAGGTGTGCCCCGCACGACTGCCAAGGTCACAGGCAGCTCCTCGCTCTCTCTGGGGCAGCGATTGGAGCCGGCGTGAGGGCTTTTCCGCTAGCCCTGAATCTGCCTTGCGATGGGGCCTGGGGCCTGTCGCTGCCTCTGAGACTGTGCCTGCTCGCCGGCACGTGGGGAGGCAGGGCAGAGCCTGTCTCGCACTGCTGCTGGCCTCTCTCTTGTCTGAGACTCTTGGAGAACCTGGAGCTTCTGGAAGTCTTTCTGTTCTGAGCACAGAGGCCTGGCGGATTTCTGGATTGTCCTAGGTAGGGAGTGACGAACTGGCGAGGGCCACAGGTCGGACCTGCTTACACCAGTCCTGTGATCCAGGAGACAGATCGCCCTCGTTTGTCGTCCGCTGGGGAGTAATCCGTTGTCACTGTGCCCCAGCTCTGCTCCGTTGTGTTTTACTCCTGATGGGGAATGTGACGTCATAGGTCTCCACCTACTGTAACAGGCCGATACTTACTTCGGGGTGTTTTCGCACTTTGGTTAGCAAGGCCACTTCGAAAGTGACGCCGGTGTCCTTACTCACCATGCTGGTAATGTTTTTTCGTATGAATTTCCTCTTCTGACTGTACGTCCTTGGCGGGAAAGAGAGAGCAGCCTCAGCACTGCCGTCCTGTGCTTCTGTTTCTTGATTTTCGCTGGATCCTTGAAGGGGACGATGAGGGCAGCTGTCTGTCCTGTTTTTCACATACGCATGACGCTGGGACGTCAGATACTGCGTGATGGGCACTGTTTTTGTGTTTTTCTGTGTTTTCTTTGTTTTTGTGTTTATTTTTTCCTCTCCATCACCCGAGGGCATTGTTGTTGTCCATTATTTTAGCTTAAAATTTCCTACTTATTACCACCCTGGTTTTTCTTTAGTTAACAAAATATCAATTTCCAATGTTTTCGTAAAAAGAATCAACAGAAGCTTAAATACATTTTAAAACATACAATTTAGGTACCTACATTGGTGCTATTTTTGTTTTAGAATTTGGGATTTTGTTTATGAAAACAAGAAACGAAACCCAAAACCAAAACCACCTAAAAACCAGCAAAAGAAAACGGGAAGCCCCAGAACAATGGAAAGTTTTGTTAAATGAGCTACGGCGCCTAAAGGGTTTTTTTTTTGTTTGTTTTTTGTTTAAACATTTGACTCGAGACAATGTTAAATGGAAAAAAAGGGCAGCGAGTAACATTGCACGCGAGTGTGATCACAGAGGTAGCTCTTCCGTGGCTGAGCACGTGTGCATGCACGAAGCACAGGCCGGGGCCGCCGGAGGATGGCCGTGGTTGCTTCATTATGGGGTTGCGGGTGATTTTTACTTTTTTTCATATTTTCTGCATTTTCAAAATCGAATCGTATTCGATAATCAGGAAGAAAATACATCATTTAAATAGCACGCTGGGTAATTTGGGGAGAGCCGTGACAGTCCGGCTGGGGCGGGGGGCCTCCCCACACCGGCCGCCCTGAGCGCGGTTTGTGGGACCCGGGTCTTTTCTTGCACTTACATGACAACCCCCCGATGATTCGATACAGTTCTCCCAGGCTGCTTCTGCCTCTTCGTGCTGCCAAAAGTGAACTTAAGGCGACCCATTTCAGGGAAAATTTTTGCTTTCCAGTTTGACATTTGTAAAAACTTTTTGAAGTGAAGACTTAACTTTATAAGGTAGATTAAAAATAGATTTTGTATTAATTTGGTAGGACACAAGTGAAATGATTTAAAAAATAATGTATTTCTCTCTAATAACACTTCCTATTATTTTTTATAGAGAACACTGTTAATATCGTAGAGACAGTAAGAATTTACTAATCTGATGCCATTACACACAAGTCATTTGATTTTAAAACGAGGAGAAAACTGAGCAGTTCGTGGCTCTTAACTTTTGTCTCATGGGTCTGTGTCCTGGTAAACGTGCAGATGGCTTTGGCTGTGATGAGGACTACGCCTGTCCGCAGTGCGAGTGCAGCTTTACCAGCGAGGAGATCCTTGCCGAGCACCTTCAGACGCTGCACCAGACGCCCACCGAGGAGAAGGGGTTCAAGTGCAAGCACTGTGGGAAGAAGTTCCCGGTGAAGCAGGCTTTGCAGAGACAGTGCGTGCAGTAAAGAACGTCTTTAACGTTATGAGCTAACATTCTGTTTAACGATCGCATTTGGTTTCTAACCCGTGTATGTGAGACAGTCACGGACGGAAGGTTCAGGCGTCTACGCTTTTCATTGCCATTAACTCTTCTGTTCTTCGTAAAGCATGCCGGCTTTTGAAACATTCCGAGGAGCCGTTTAACAATTAAACATGGCTTATGCTAATCAGTCATTGTCTCCTTGATAACTTGCTGTTAAATATCAAGCCCATTGGTTTACTGATCTGAAATTCAGATATGCATCATTTAGCGGGTGCTTCGAGGTGACAGATCGAGTTTCAGCTGTCATGTCATAGTCCCTCGGAAATCAGTGAAGGGAAAGTTTAGGAGATGGAGGGTGTTCCGGGTATAAGGAACCGGGGCCGTGTTGAGAGGCACCGTTTACTTCACAGCAATGTTGGAGGAGTCGTTTAAAGATGCGCGTGTCCAGGATGCGACGATAAGGTGAAGTAAACGATCCCACACGTTGCTCTGTGCCCTGTGTTATTTCAGTATTTATGTTAACAATACATAGTATTCTTTTATTGAAGCACCTTACAGGATCATGAATTATTCAAAGCAAGAAATCTGTAAACGTATTTTTAACAGAACGTCACTTCGCATATGAGCAAGAAGTCTTTAACACAGACTTAATGTTACGTTTTTGATTCATTAAAGATTCCGAAATACGTGAAATCTCATATTGAGACTTTTGCCACATGTTATATACATCTACTTTTGCTTGTGAAATTGGAGATGAAAAATTTCTGCTCAAAACGTAAAACTGTTTAATTTTTATAACAACGAGCGATCGAACATTTGGAAATTCTATCGTAGGCTCTTAAAACAAGCAAGGGCTATATACTCTTTAATGAATAGGCTTGGGAACTACATTCCGGTCAGCTTTTACGGAATTTAATACGATATATTCTGCACCGAAGATACTTTGGCTGAGCCGGGTCTTGCAGTTAAGTTAGGTAACCACTAAAACGAGAGAGGGAATGAAGAGAGAGGTCACGAGCACGACTTCATTCCACGTGAGAGGTTTTCGGACGTTTTCCTCTCCGGTCTCCAGCCTCCAGCCTCCCTTCCCTTTCTTCCGTTTCCCCAGCGTCCTCCAGTGCCCGGCGAAGACCGGTCGGCAGGATTCCTCGCGGAGCTCGCAGCGCTCCGCGTGCAGCTCCCCCTTCAGCTCCGCGTCCAGGTGTGGCGTCGCGAGTTTGGATGGCAGTTATGTGACTGTGGGTCCCGTGGGGGCAGGCATGCTTTAGGGCTCCTTGGTTGGTTTCGCGTCCCTGGCTGCAGGACGCGAATGCTTTCCTCCGCACCTGCCCAGGTAACGCACGCGGGACCCTGACTTCTCGGCAGGGAGCGTGCGTTCCGAAAGCCCGCCGGGCAGCGACGCCAGAGCCTCCTCGGTGCGTCTTCACCTGCCTCCCCCTGTCCCCTTCTCCCTGCCGCCCCGTAGCTGCGAGCAGCATCAGGAGGCCGGCCGGAGCAGAGCCAGGTTCGTGTGCAAGGCCGACAGCTGCGGGAAGAGGCTGAAGAGCAAGGACGCCCTGAGGAGACACCAGGAAAACGTCCACGCAGGTGAGACATCGCTGCGGGTCGCGGGCGGGCTCCCCGCCCCAGGCTGCGGCGCGGGTTCCCTTCTCGCTGGTGGGGACGGGAGGAGGCACGTGCCTCCCCACCGCAGCCGCGCGCGTGAGCAGACAGGGCGGCGTCCTTCCTCTGAGCACCGCCGCGACGTCCGGGGCTTCCCGCAGCGTCCGTCGTTTCCCTGGCTGTGGGTTCACCGTGACCGCAGGCCCGGGCTGGAATCTGGTTGCGCTTGGTCGTCAGGTGCACGAAGGATGAATGTTTTCACATAATAAGTTTAATGTTTCGGCATATGAAATTTCCCTGCTAGTCGCTGCATTCGAAAACTATGAAAGGACGCCCTTCTGCCTTGATATTTTTACAGTGAGAGTCTATTTCTTAATGCTTATATTTCTCCTATATTGGAGAAAATTACTGGCTACATTTTGACCTAGGAATTGAATGTTTGGATTAATAAAGCAGATATTAATTGAATTCCTTTTATGGCTGGATAGACAGATCAACAAACAAAATGTGGCTGCCATTTCGACTTCATCTGCTTGGCACGTGGTCGACGTAGTTTAGTTTAGGGAGCGAAGCCGTTGCACAGAGGTGAACAGATGGCTGTGTTGACAGAGCTGGCTTTTTATTTCCTCCGAGTCTTTTCCTTCAAGGAGGTGGGGTTCACAGAGCGCCCCATCCCCTCCTGTAACAATACTCTCCTCACGTGCTTCCCTTGCCCTCAGCTTCTGGGGAATGGGGGGAACCGTGTCTCTCTGGATACGAGAAAAGCGGATTTATTTTCTCTCATCTCGTTTATCCTCACGTTCAGAAGGAAAAGATAATTGATCCTCAGCTTCCGTATTCCGTGTTTGACCATTGTCCCCAAAGTGCCTACTTTCATGCTAACGTGACAGCAGCCGGTATAGCGTGACCGCTGGTCCCACTTCGCGCAGCGGGTTCGGGCTGCCCGTTTAGCGTGACAGCTCTGGGTGTGGAAGGCATGGCCCTGGGAAACGCGGCTTCAGGCTGGCGCCCGACCCTCGGACTTGACTGTGTTCTGATTTCTCCCTTTCCTTTTGGAGAACGTTTGGCCGATTTAGGGAAGGTGGTGTTTTTGTGCGTTAATTGTACGTGGGCCTACTCTGTGCTGGCCAAGATCAGGCATAACTTCTTGACAGACCCGTCTTCATCGTTTCTTTTTTAAGCTGTTATGTCTAAAACGCTGGTCTTCATTTTCTCTGCCTTTGTCTGCAGTGTCTTGTAACAGATCTGTCGTGTCATTTTTAAAGTTAACTTTGCTGCACTAAGTGAAAACCCAGATGCTCACTGAAGCTGTCTCTGGAAACCTGCATTCTCGCTCGCTGGGTTTGTGGACGTCAGGCTATGCTCTGAGCATCAAGAAGCATCGAGGCTTCTTGTAGTTGGCCGTGGATATTGTGATGTTACTCATTCTGGAAGCTCATGGTGATTTTGTAGGAAATAATTGAAGGAAGTTTCTTATTTTTCTGCGATGTGGATTATATAACGTGTGAAGCTTACCGCTCTTGGCCAGTCCCATGCCTGTCGCTGAGGTTCCACGCAATCTATCTCTGTTCGTCACCGCTTTCTGGCTTCTCCCTTTCCTCGGGGATCTGAATAGCCTTCGGGGAGGGAATGATCCGCATTCAGAAGAGCGACGTTCACACATGTGGCTGTGGAACCGTTTACAAGGTATTCTGGGAAAGAGAAGGTCTCGCTTTCCCACCGACGGTGACACATGTGCCCAGTTAGTGGTGTGAATCGACAGCGCTGAGGAGAGAGGCCGAATTTTTAGATGCGCGGCACATCTTCCCGTCGAAACTGAGTGACACGTGTTGCGTAGGTTTTCCGAGCAGCTCTGGGGTGTCCTTCGCCCGCGGTGTGCTGGGACGCACGGTGTCCGAGTGACTACGTTTTCAGAACAGCTGTGTCGTCTCCCGCATCACCTCCCTTTCTTTGTAAGTTATGTGTTCCCGCATATTTTCGAGGGTCGAATCTGAAAGTCAAATATCAGATCGCCCTGAACATAGGAAAACTAAATTAGTATAAAGTCTAGTTATGGCTTTGGCGGTGCCGTTGTTCTTGAACTTGGGGAACCTTCACAGTTACACAGGATGCAGAGCGAAGGGGCCGACTTCCTGAACCCACTTCCCATCTTTCCCGTTTGCTTGGATTCTGTGGACGCTGACTGCGAGGTTTTGTATTTCTGGGAAATCGCATTTATGTGCATTCTCAGGGGATGATCATCAACTCTCCCCCTATTTCCTCTCTGAGGAGCTAGGGCTCCAGTTCCAGGATGAAGAACAGAAGATGGGAGGAGGAGAGAAACACCTAGAAACACTGAATCTGAAATGCTGTATCTCCTCTTAAGATTCTCATTGAAATCACGGTGGCGTTTCGTTTCTGTTTCAGGAGACCCGAAGAGAAAGCTGGTGTGCTCGGTGTGCAGTAAGGAGTGTTCTTCGCCGTCGAGCCTGCAGGAACACAGAAAGGTCAGTGAGGTAAAGGCGGAGCTGCTTCCAGTCGTGTATGGTGTCTGCCACGTAAATGTTTAGCAGATTTTTTATATTGTAAAGAAAGGCCTTTGTCATTAATTTAAATACGAAGGTACTCTAAAATGCAAGACTGATACGGAGAAGAATAAACTCTTGCAAAAGAACGTTTTGTGTTATTGTTTACAGTTAGTGGAAATATTTCTTCAAGGCAAAGGGTCACCTAAGTGCTTCACCTGCAACACCTCACCTGGTTTCGAGCTTGCTGTTTGCTCAGGAAGTATCAGTCAGTGAGGAAACCATGTATTTTTGTGTGTTTGTAATATGCTCTACAGTGGCATTTAGCTATTAACATGGATGCAGGTAATAGCTAACTCTGGTGAAACAGACAAAGCTCTATTATTCTAAAGAGCTAAATGAGATGTACAGGTATGTCAGAGTGTTGATAGCAGAAACAAATTATTATATTGGGAGACAATAAACTTGGTATATTTTATAACAAGTATAAAATTTACTAAGTAATTATTTTAATGTGAAAAGTAAATATGAAAAGTAAATGGCAATTATTAACTCTAAAAACATTAGCAACTGGTTAATAGAATTTACAGTAGTATAGAATTGAAATAGAATTTAGATTTTCATTCATGTCATGGCAGAGTCCAAAATAATTCATATTACATTATTACATTATTTCGACAAAGATGATATATAATACATAAATGATTATTTCCTACTTCTACATATTGTTTTTTCAGAGTATCTAGGAGCATGCAGTGTTTTCTTTTAGTGATTTAATACCAAAGGTACTAGTGAAAGTCAAATTTCACTTTTGTCGTGTTTTGTAAAATGAATTTTGTCCCTTTATTTATATGTCAATGTATTCCAAAGTAACTTGACAGGTCTTAAAATTCATGTCATCGTCAGTCTAATAGCTCCAGCCATGTGCTGTGGACTTAACCCATACCATGCGGAACAGTTACACGGCTGTGTTAAGGTGTCTGTGGTTGTCTCCTGATGTTGAGGGATTTTGATATTTAGCACTAGACTGAGAGTCAGGATAGTGGGTGTCTTCCTCTGTCCCTAGCCCTCCATGTAATATTGGGCCTCTGTCTGTTTTCTCACTTATTTATTTTTCTTTTTAAAATTATTATTTTATTTTTCAGTTGTAGTTGGCATACAATATTATATTAGTGTCAGGCGTACAACACAGTGATTAGACATCTATATAGCTTACCCTGATAAATCTAGTACCTGTCCGACACCAAACATGGTTATTACAATATTACTGACTATATTCCCTCTGCTGTACTTTACATCCCCAGGACTACCTTGTAACTACCAATTTC